CAAACAAGTAAAAACGGCAATAAGTGTGACCAGGTCGAAATTTAAAATTTATCTGGGGAAATTTCAAAATGACAAAATAGAAAATGTGTCTCAACTTTAAAATTCAACCCTTCCAGGACCCATTAGAAAAAACTTCTTACCCATTGAGCACCCAAAATGCCAAATAACAGTTATTTGTTTGAAATTGTGCCTGAGACCACCAAAATAACGAAAAAAGGGATACAAGGAGGCTTAAGTATATATTGAAGGGTTTGCATGGTTGGTTTTTGTCTTATTGTAACATTAAATTACTGCAAATTTCTTTGAATATTCTGATTAATTGCAAAAATCCGAAGGTGTCATCTTATGGGGGATTAGTGAGAACCCAATATTACGGCCCAAAATAGCAAAATAGGTTATATATTATTTAATACAAATACTTTACAATTTCTGTTAATCGGTAAGAAAATGCGTTATATATGATGCCTACAACAAAGGGTGCACATGAAATGTGCAATCGCAGCAGATTCCTTTGGAAATGATAGCAGAAATTTTAAAAATAAAATAACCAAAAATGCTTTAAGTATGGGTCGAAATTTTAATACTCCCCACCATAGGGCAATGCAACCTATTAAAAACGAGTTATAAAGTATCAGTAGGTTTTGCCGACAGATGTATACTCCCAGCCAGTGTCTGTTTTTTAAATATACAGGGGGAGATAAAAAAACGTCAACCAAATTCAGACTGCTGTCATTTCTAAGCCACTTGTCCGACAGCTGTTAAAATTATTCCGATCAGAGCTCATTATATTGTTTACAAGCATAGAAAAGCATTTTGGTGAGAATTTTTCAGAAAAAAGTTGTTCGTGATGGAGTTCAAGCGTGATAGTGTGATTTGTTCATATTCGGCTGGAAAACCACAAGTGGCTATCGTTAGGGCAATCCAGCATTTAAATGTGAATAAATCTTTTGTGTCTCGTACCATCGCTCGTTACCGTGATACTGGTAGCGTAGTCCCACGCCAAGGAAGTGGACGGAAGAAAACAACAACATCAGCAGAAATGGTTCGAAAAGTAAAGAAGCGACTTAATCGAAACCCGCGTCGCAGTGGCCGAAAAATGACTCGTGAGCTGAATATGTCGTGTTATTCCATTCAACAAATATTGAAAAATGAGCTCGGCGTAAAGCCATTGAAATTCCAAAAAGTGCAAGAACTTACACCGCAACAGAAAGAAAGTAGACTCAAAAGATCTGAAGAGTTGCTTCGCTTGACCGAAAGTTCTGAACTGCCGAATTTGGTTTTCTCCGATGAAAAAAACATTCGTTGTCCAGCAGTTTGTAAACAAACAAAATTACCATTTTTACTTGCCAAAGTGCTCAACTGAAAATGTGCACCTTCGGTTGGCCAACAGAACTCAAGCGCCGACCATGGTGATGGTGTGGGCTGCCATAACAGACGATGGTCGCTCTCCGCTCGTATTAATCGACCGTGGCTATTCTGAATGCCTAATTTTATCGCGAAAATATTCTGGACATTTTGGCCGCAGACCTTGGATATTCCAACTGGAATCAGTACAGTCGCACTCAGAACACACCACCCAAGAATGGTTACAAAATGAGGTTTCTCGCTTCATTTCCAGCGCACAATGGCCTCCAAAATCTCCGGATACCAATCCGTTGGACTATTGTGTCTGAAGTATTTTGGAAAGCAATATTAGCAATAAACAAGTAAAAAAAACATTAAGTTCGGCCGAGCCAAACTTTTAATACCCTCTACCTTAGGGTAAAAGAAACATTAGAAGAAATGTAGCAAAAACCATTAATGCCGAATACCGGGCCAAAACGTGGACATATAAATACAATATTTCGCCATACGAACTAGGACCCATTATGACCCACAAATACCAATTTTTAGACAAATCAGTGAAAAAATGTGGCAAAAACCATCAAAATACCGAATATCGGGAGGTACCGTTATATGGGGGCTGTACCAAATCATGGACCCATACATGCAATGTTTCGCCACCGTGATTTCAACAGACAGACAGACAGACAGACGGACATCGTTAAATCGACTTAGAATGTTATGCTGATTATGAATATATATATTTTATGGGGTCTAAGACGAATATTTAAGGATGTTACAAACGGAATGACAAAGTTAATATACCCTCCTTTCCAAGGTGGAGGGTATAAAAATACCAAAGTGTCGATCGAATGCTAATTACGCGTTTTACCAACTTCTTAACTATTCAAAATTCAAAACAGAAGGAATGAAACTATATATCCCAGTTTCACATCATATATTGTTATAACCTCCACCTTGTAAAGGAGGGTATATTAACATTGTCATTCCGTTTGTAACATCCCTAAATATTCGTCATAGACCCCATAGAGTATATATATTCATGATCAGCATAAAATTCTAAGTCGATTTAAAGATGTCCGTCTATCTGTCTGTTGAAATCACGATACAGCCCACATTATTGGCATAACAATTTGTATTGTGTCGAGGATGGTTGGTATTGAAAATGAGATATATCGACCCACGTTGTCGTATAGCCCCCAAATAACTATCGGTATTTTGATAATTTTTGGCATATTTTTTTACGAATCTTTCATAAAATTGTTATATTTGTAAAACATAATGGGTTCTAGCTCGTGTGGTTAAACAATGTATGTATAGGTCTACGTTTTCGTATAGCCCCCATACAACGGTACCTCCCGATATTCGATATTTTGATGATTTTTGCCACATTTTTCGAACTGTAAGTTTGTAGATAATCGGATGCTTATTTCGTTTTTATGAGCGTTTTTGATCATTCAAAATGTTGACCCCTTTTGTGGGGAAGGTACTTGATGGAGTTGACCGATATTGTACTATAATACTGATTCAAATACTAAAATGTGTATTGTTTCATTTTGTTTGCAATGACTGAGGAAGGTTCCAGAAGAAGTTCAACCGATATTGTCCATATCCGTACTCGATCTTAAAACTTGTGTAAAATTATTACTATCTACTAAGTGTGGACAAAATCGAATACTCCCTTTAAGAGTTATCATCTACACCATTCAGACATACGGATGTAAAGGAATCGCTGAAACTGATTTCATCCATAGAGACTTTAGGTCCAAAGCCGTTATCTTGATGAGGAAAATTTTGGAAATAAAGACAGCGAGGCGTGTTGAATATAGACTGTGGAAGGCCTTTATAATGGTTATTATGTTTTTAAAACAGGTCTGGAAAAAATATACGAGCTCTTGCAGCTATAAACTATTTATAGCTAAAAAAAGCCGTAAAACATATTCCTTCAAAACACGTCATATTTATATACATTAGAAGGTCTTTGGTTTTTAGAAGGATGTTATATAAATAATCCTTGGAAGGTCTGTATATAGAAGACATTCAAATGGCCTTCCCATTATAGAATACCTTTAAATATTCTTTGAAGCATAGAGACCATTGAAAAGTTTTCTATCTTGTGATGATATTCGAAAGATTCTTTGATTTGTCTTTACCTTTACCTTTGTAGATTTTCAGAAGATTTTCTACCTACACAATTACATAAGAAAGTTCTACAGCGTATTAATACTTTTACCATAGATGGATCACCCAGGTAAAGTTCTTTCTCTAGGAAATATTGTTTTTATAAAAGAACCAGTAAAGAAAGTCTTAAGGTCGGGCGCGGCCGACTTTATGATACCCTACACCACTTTGCTAATTTAGTAGAGCTGCGCATAACAATTAAAAGTTTTTATGGGAGAATTCAATCATACACACTAAGATTATAATTATAATTTAAAGTTCAAAGGACTAAATATGCCGAAGCATTTGTATCTTTTAAATTCGGACTTGTATTGCTCATTTGGTGCACAATTAATTTGAAATCGGATAAAAATATATATGGGAGCTATATCCAAATCGGAACCGATCTCGATAAAATTTGGCAAAGATATTTCTGAGCTGTATTTGATATATTTCCATGAATATCGTTGTTACGGAGTGCATATTACGGCTGTGGGTAACAAATATGACAAATCGGATGAACAGTATATATGGGAGCTATAGCTATATCTGAACCGATTTCGATCAAATTTGGCATACTTATTTTCAGGTCCAATCTGATCGTACGTGTAAAATTATATATTATTCGGACTAATATTACACGTTTGTTGCACAATAAAAAGCAAATCGGACGAAGATATATATGGGAGCTATATCTAAATGTTTACCGATTATCTCCAATTTCAATAGGGTTCGTCCTTGGGCCAAACAAATGATTTGTGTAAAATTTCATCTGGATAGGGCAATAAATGCGAACTATACTTTGTTTACAAAAATTCATGGACAGACGGACGGACGGACATGCATAAATCGACTCAGAATGTGATTCTTTGCAGATCATCAAAAGGAACTATGGGTCTATCTCGTTTCCTTTTGCCTGTTACAAACAAATGCACAAAGACATAATATCCTGACCACCTTGTGGTGTAGAGTATAAAAATCATCGGATTATACCTAACTATTTTGCAACGAAAAATGAAAAAAAAAATCTTAAAAAAGATAATTAGAACGTTTTTCTATGTTTTCTGAACAGGGCTATTCATTGAGTGATATTGCTATATTATCAATTGAATTTCTATTGAAGGTCTTCTTTGGTACTGCATCTTAATGACTTTAAGTGATCTAGATTTCCGAGGAGATTCTGAGAGTATCCCTTCATCCCTCTACATCAATTAAAAATGCTGATTTTTTGTTTCTTACACTTTCGCTACTTAAATTTTGTAACTCAATTTTCATTTGGAAATATTTCCTGTTTATAACCATGAAATAATATTTGTGATCCTCATGCCACTGCATATTTTCGCGTTCAACTAACTTTGAAATTTATTGTGTCAACGTGCTAGTCTTTAAGTATTTGTATGTATATGTTGCTGGTGTAATGTAAACTATTTGCCAAGACGAAAGGGAAACTTTGTCTGATTCGCTCCGTGCTTTGAAGTTGAATTAAAACAAATTACCTTTTAGTTAAGGAGCCGCAACATTAGCAGGTTGGAGAAAAAAACAATAACACAAACACAAAGCAAGCAGCATTTCCGTTACCCGATATACGGACGCATCCTTTAGAGTAAGTTTCAGCAGCAACAGGACGAATCTTTGCACATTTTCTATGTTTCCGTTGTTTGTGGTGTTGTTTGTGCATTTGCATGCTCGGCACCATCCAAGACCGAAGCTGATGCTGAAGCCGTTGCCGAGGGTGACGATGCGGAAGATGGCTCTGGTGTGGTACTGGTATTGGAAGCTTTACGGTTAGCTGTTGCATGTTGGCGCACAGCTGGTGTGGGAGGTTGATGCTGATGGTGTTGTTGGGTTTGGGTTTGGGATGGCTGCTGTTCCGAGAACGGCATGCCCGATGCTTGGGGTGCTATTGTTGGTGTTGGCGGTGGCAAAGGTGAATCGGCAGCGCCACTGGTACTGCCACCTCCAGTACTGCCACCGGCTGTTGTGGTATTGCGCGTAAGAAACCAACAATTCATCGGTGTCGGTTTACCTTTCATCACGACTGGTCCACGATATTCCAAATTAAATGATTCATCCTGGTTGATCTCCTCGCAAAGTAATCTGCAAAATGCAATAAAAAAAGAGCAATGAAAACGATGATGATGAAGAAAAAGAAGGAGAATATGAGAAATACGTTAAATAAAGGCACGCTCGTTGATGTATTCGAAATGTGGAGAAATAATATATGGCGAAAATAGCTCGCTCGTAAATACAGAGCGTATAATAAAAAGGAAGCTGTAAGCAAAGAAGATTAGTTATTCACATCATTATCATCAGGAAAAGGGGCGGATGGTGAAAAGTGGTTTCAGGAGGTTACAAGAGTGGAAGTAATTGTGAAGGAAGAATTGAAAAAATACATATATTTTTTTAAAGTAGGTCCTCTATTCTCTTTCTATGAAATGTACAATTTATTTAAAGTAATGAAAGTCAAATGGAATAATTAAGGTAATATTTGTATACCCTTCACCATACTATGGAGGGTATATTAAGTTTGTCATTCCGTTTGTAACACCTCGAAATTTACTTTTTAGACCCCATAAAGTATATATATTCTTGATCAGCATAAAATTCTATGTCGATTTAGCTATGTCCGTCCGTCTGTAGAAATCACTCTAGCTTCCGAACGAAATAAAGTAAGTTGATAAAATTTTGCTTAAATGTGTATTATGTCTGCAGAACTTCTGGCATTGAAAATGGGTCATGTAGGTCAACGATTTGGTATAGCCTCCATATAGTGGTACCTCCTATTTTCATTATTTGGTGGTTTAGGGGCATTATTTATCGGAAATATTTCAAATTTGGTACCTGAAGTTCGTAATGAATACTGCAGCATAAGAGAGAAAATTGTCTGTGCAGGTCCGCGTCTTCGTATACCCCCCATATAACGGTACCCCCATATTTAGTATTTTGAAGATTTTAGCGACATTATTCACCGGAATTGTTTCAAATTTGGTGTTTGACGTTCGTAATGAATACTACAGCCTAAGACAGAAAATTGTCTGTGCTGGTCCACGTCTTTGTATAGCCCCCACATAATGGTACCTCCCGATATTCGGTATTTTGATGATTTTAGCGTTATTATTTACCGGAATTATTTCAAATTTGGTATTTGAAGTGCCTAATGGATAGTATAGCCCTCATATAACGATACCTCCCGATATTCGGTATTTTGATGATTTTAGCTACATTATTCACCGAATTTTTTATGTAGGTTCACGTCGTCGTATAGACACTAATATAACGGATACATTCGGAATTAAGATTTTAACATAGTTTTTAGCGGATTTTATTTTTTTGAAAATTGCCAAATGCCTTCCGAATGGTGGAGGGTATCCAAGATCAGCCCGGCCGAACTTACAGCTTTTTTACTTGTTATTTTATATTTTCTTAGAGCAAGAATCCAGCTACAGAACTCTTGGAATTCTATCAGAGAATCTGCCTCGATTTTAGTCGACCTGAAGTAGGGAGTTTTTCTTCCTTGCAGATTAGATCAATCATAGAGCCTTAATTTCTTTCTTAAACATAAAACATTGATTCCTGATATAAGAATTAAAAAATAATTTATTTTCGTTATAGTTGCGCTGGAGATGAAGAGTATTCCTTCTCTAGTGGCGTACAGGGAGTCTAACTTCCCTATGGCTGAGCATAAGTCTTTATTCCTTATAGATGTATTGAGAAAGAAAATATGCACTTCCTTTATTATAGGCGGTCTGAAGAAAAAAATTCTCATTTCTTACAGGGTAATTGTAATCCTTCGCAGTTGGAGAGCAGGGGAGCTCCCATTCTTATTAAAGTGATGAAAAGTGAGCTTCAATTCGAAAGTGCCAATTGGAATAAAGCAAGCTTCGCCCTAAAATTTGACAAAAGAAAGAGCCTGCATTTATTATATGCAAGCCAAAAAGATACTCTCGTTCTTCATCGATAAGCACTAGTAGGAACTTTTTAGAAAGGGAGCATGCATTTTATATTCGCTTACCTTTGGAATAGCAGAGCTAAATTAGATTTTTTTTCCTTATGAAACAGCTGAATCCTTATAGGACAACTCAACAGGGTAGACAACAATCAAAGAATTCCTTACATATAAGTAAGTTTAACAATATAAATTCCACTTCTTATAGGTGATCTAATACATAGAGCCTTTCTGCCCTTTAGGCAAGCTAAATCGAAAACTCGTTCTTTTTCCTAGAAGCGGGCATTTGATCTTTCATTGCATACAACTAAAAGCGTCGTCTTTTCGTTTATTAGAGTTAGAGCAGGGAGCCTACTCATAGGGGCTCCAAGCAAGAAGCCTTCCGTCAAATATGTAGGATTAAAGCACAGACGATATAGCTGAACCTTCACGAAAGCCAAGAACGTTTTGCCCCCCTAAACCAGGTCTTTATTATATGACCTTCTTTTCAATATGTTAACAATTCTTTCATTATTGTAACCACTGTATAACCTAATACGCTTGAATTGCTTTTAAGTTTTCTTAATGCCATACGAGTCTTCGCCAAGTAAAGAACATTCGGTTGATGTTACCAGGCGAATAGAATCGATGTTTCCCGGTTTGAATGAAAGGCAGAGTGATGTCCTCCATTCATCTATTCAACAGTCAGGTTGTCAAACCAAGCCAATGAAAGTATGCCAATAAGAGTAGCATTTTAAATGAAAATGCACAAAGTGACGCCCCCCAAATACCCCACCTATTGCCAAGTGCTGATGATTTTCTTCTCTATGACTGTAAAATGCCTGTATATGTAATTTATTGTGTTGACGTTGCACCAATTTCCCAGAAGGAAGTAATCACAGATAGAGCGTTAAGCCTCATTCAATGTGTGTAATATAAATCAGAACTAGAATAACATCCTTTTATGCCAAACTTCTTGTGTAAAATAACACCAAACAAACACACAGAAGTCATTCATTGGCTTGCCTAGCTCATTGACTACTATACTTTTAAGGGATTACGAATGACTCGCATTGAATTTGCAGTTTCTTCAATGTATGTTGAATAAATTAATTTGCTGATGGTGTATTGAAATATTTCTTATGACTGCAGATGACTATTAAAGAGAGATGTCATATTTTCGTTTCAATGTAATGTATTCAAAATTGTATATACGAATATTTTGACTTTTTAAAAAAAATAGAAAAAATTCAAGAATTTAAACAACCTATTCAATGTTTTATATTTTTATACCCTACACCACAAGGCGGTCAGGGTATTATGTCTTTGTGCATTTGTTTGTAGCAGGAAAAAGGAAACGATCTGCATAGAATCACATTCTGAGTCGATTTATGCATGTCCGAACAGGTCGCATTTATTGCCCGATCCAAATGAAATTTTGCACAGATCATTTGTTTTGCCCAAGGACGAACGCTATTAAAATTGGAAATAATCGGTCAAAATTTAGATATAGCTCCCATATATATCTTCGTCCGATTTGCTTTTTATTGTGCACCAAACGTGTACTATCAGCCCGAATTGTATGGAATTTCGCATCTATACCCAAATTAGGCCTGAAAATATGTATGCCAAATTTGATCGAAATCGGTTCAGATATAACCATAGCTCCCATATATATTGTTTATCCGATTTGTTATGTTTGTCCACCGCCGCCGTAATATGCACTCTGCAACAACAATATTTGGGGAAATATATCAAATACAACTCAAAAATGCATTTGCTAAATTGTATCGAGATCGGTTCAGATTTGGATATAGCTCCCATATATAACTTCGTCCGATTTAACTTTGATGGTGCACCAAACGTCTAATATTTGCCCAAATGGGATGAAATTTGGCACATGGAACCGTATTAAGTCTAGAAGCTAGTATGTCAAATTTGGTGAAGATTGGTTCAGATATAGCTATAGCTCCCATATATACTGTTCATCCGATTTGTTATATTTGTTACCCACAGCCGTAATATGCACTCCGTAACAACGATATTCAGGGAAATATATCAAATACAGCTCAGAAATATCTTTGCCAAATTTTATCGAGGTCGGTTCAGATTTGGATGTAACTCCCATATATATTTTTATCCGATTTCAAATTAATTGTGCACCAAATGGGCAATACAAGTCCGAATTTAAAAGATACAAATGCTTCGGTATATTTAGTCCTTTGAACTTTAAATTATAATTATAATCATTAAATTATATTAATTGTTATGTGGAGCTCTACTAAATTAGCAAATTGGTGTATGGTATCATAAAGTCGGCTCCGCCCGACTTTAAGACTTTCTTTACTGGTTTATAATTGTTTTTTCTTTCACCTGTTATTTTCTAATTTCCCAGATCTATCAGTTGCTTAGAAAATTGTTTGGATGATTTGTTATATTGAAGTTGTACACGCATATTTATAATTGGTTTTACTGTTCGAACATGGCTCCAAAGAAAACATGATTTTAGGCATGCATTTAATTTATATGCTGGTGTTGATCCATGAATAACAGACAACGTTTGTCAAAAATCTCAAGCTAATTTTAATTTTTCTAATTTTGCAATAAATATACGAAAATATCCTAGCCGATTTCGTTATAATTTGACAAAATTTTTTTCAGACTTTATTCCGTCACACATTTCAAATTTCATTGCAATATGAGATACATGGCAAGTTTGGTGCGTCGGCCGAAAATATAAATTGGAGCTACATGCACACCTCAATCGATTTCAATATAATGTGACAAATAAAAGTTAAGATCAAATTTCAATACACATTTCAATCTTCAATGAAATCGGAAATACATAATCGGGAGAATTAAATCATAAAAGCTATTATTATAATTATAATTTAAAGTTCAAAGGACAAAATATGCCGAAGTATTTGTATCTTTTCAATTCGGGCTTGTATTGTCCATTTGGTGCAAAATTAACTTGAAATTGGTTAATGGTATATATATATATATATATATATATACATATATATATATATATATATATATATATATATATATATATATATATATATATATATATATATATATATATATATATATATATATATATATATATATATATATATATATATATGGAACCTATATCCAAGTCTAAACCGATCTCGATAAAATT